ATTTGAGACGTGTTCATCCCAAATTCAGATCAGAGACAAGTGTCTACAGTTACCGAAACTTTTCATCTTTTCACACTGGTGTACACTGATTCTTGCTTTCATCAGTTTTTGCTTCGACTTTGAAATGCTAAGTAGTGAATCGTTTAATGCTGACATTTCAGCTAATTGCTCTTTAATGTACATTTGACATATGAGGCAACATATTGCAATCTAAAAATAATTAAGATAAATCATTTGCTTATGTTTCTAGGCAAGAGATAGACCATTTTTCAGCCCTGTTCCTCCCTCCCAGTGTCTGAAACAAGGATGTCTTGTAGTCAAAATGACAACGATGCAGTATCTGCTCCCTACCGGGTGGTTCAGTGTCAGTGTGAGCAGTGTACCCGGCCGGTGGCAACAGCAGCTCCCCAAGATTTCTCCTCTGTCACGGGCCAGCTCCCCAGATGGGTTTGCATTCCAGGATCTGTGTTTTTGAATTCCTCTAGCACACCTTGGCAGGCTGCCAGCATACTATGAAGGATTGGATTCTGTCTCTCTCTTTTATATAAACCCCCCAGAGGCCTTCCTTCTTCAACATTTAAAAGACTGGCTCCAACCAGCAGATCCAGCAAGTGGTCCCATTTGTGAGCTGAATATCTTGGGAATTACGCTACACAAATAGGTCATAGTCGACTAAACACTATGTGCAAGCTGATTTTTTTTTCCTTTTGGAGGGAAGAGCAACCCTTTGGTGTTTTTGCTAGAGGGATTATGCCACCATCTAACAACTGTCACAAAGGCGCAGTCCATTTCTGAGTAGAATGGATCATTTGTTTTTCTGGGCACTTCATTTTTACTTATAAAGTTAGCTGATCGTATTTCAAAAAGCTGTTGTAATGTATGTTCTATAAAGGAAACATTTTCTCCACTTGTTTTAAGCCAGCACAGGTTTCAGATTTATTCTGGGCTAAGTTATATTTTGAAACTAAAGGGATCAGTTGTTTTGTATGAAGACACTGCTGAGTTCTGTGTAAGTACAGATTTAGTACCAATTTTAATAGAATACATGTACTGTTTTTCTATATTGCATATTTTCATGAAAACAAAGGAATTTATGGGACATGTCGTATGTCTAGTTAATTAGATAAATATTTACTTGACACATTATGTATGAATGTGTTTTCTTGCTACAAAGTGAACTGATAGTTAGAATTACATGTCTTTCTTTTTTGAAAGAACATTTAGTTATTTATTGTATTGTATGTATATTTTTGCTTGCATATTTGTATGTTTACAATTTGTATGTGGTGCCGAATGAGTGTAGAAGAGGACATTAGACTCCTGCCTGGAATTGGAATTACAGACAGTTGTGACTCAGCATGTAGGTGCTGGGAATCAAACCCAGGTCCTTTAGAAAAGCAGTCAGGGCTCTTAAATGACTTAGTTATCTCTCCACTCCCTGTATTTTTATTGTATCTTCAATGACCATATGAGCACAAAGTTCATATAATTTAAATATGTATTGAGTGAACAAAAGAATGAAAATAATGGATCTAGAGGTGTGAGACAACTGAATTACTTGAACTAAAAAAGGTGACATGTTTAGAGAAGTTGTAACTTCACTTTTCCTGTGATTAGGCAGGGACCATGAACTTTACCGTTTAATCTTTCAAGGAAGTATGCTGCACCAAAACTATCTGTAGGGTGCTTCTGAGAAAACAGAACTGCTTTTATTAACAACATGGGAAAAATATGATAAAAGGAGAAATGAGGATAACTGAGCAAAGGAAAAGATCCTCTTTCTATTGTTTGAGAATTTCATACTTGTATATAATATGTTTTCTAATAAATCTATGTCCCACCCCCTTCTAATTCTTCCAATACTCCCCTATCACGTCTTCCTTCCAACTTCATGCACACTCTTTTAACATACCGAGTCAGTCCTTTCAGTGCTATTAGTACATGGGTACTAAGGGTGTAAGGCTATTTGCTGGCGCATGGGCAAATCTGGCAGTGGCCACTTCCCTGAGGAAAATCAACTATTCCTCCCTGAGTAGCTATCAGCTGCCTACAGCTCATTAACTAAGGGTGGGACTACATTGTCCTCCCATACCCTCAATCCATGTTGGGAACCTGGGTGACTTGTGTAGATCTTGTACATGGAGCCACAGCTGTTGTGAGTTCTTATACACTGTGGCTCTATCATGTACCAAAGAATGTGTTTCACATGGTCCCCTGCAACCTCGGGCTCTTACAGTCTTTCTACTCTCTACTGTGATGATCCCTGAGCCCTGGGAGGAGGGGAGGTGATATAGATATCCTACTTTAGGCTGAACACTTCCGTAGTCTATTATTCTCTGCACTTTGGCCAGATATGAGTCTCTGTATTAATCATCATTACACCATAAAGAAGTTTTCCTGGTAAGTGTTGAGAGCTACACTAGTCTATGCATATAAAAAAGATAAGTGCTCAGAGGGCAGTTTGATACCATGGCCACTAGCAAAATAATAATGGTAGGATCTCTCCTAGGAAAATAGATTCTTTTATCCAATGTTATATGTTTTGTTCTTACTCTCCTTTCTAAAGTCAATACCAAGACTTCCAGCTTAAAATATTAATTTATATTTTGTTTTGAGAAGTAGTTATAGTATATATATGAGTCATCATTCAAAGGATAGTCAGATTATATAAAATAACACAGGCATATCAATACAGGCATATCATAACAAAGCCGCCAAGGGGTCAAAATCATAGAATCTTGGATGAGGGGATGGTGTATCTCAGTGGTGAGTATCTAGCACTCATGAGGCTAGTTTGATCTCCAGCATCTCCAAGCAGAGAAGAATAAATTACATTCATGGTAGATTCCACTTTGTTCAGTCTGATATTTAGTAAACTTTTTTCTGATAGAGCAGAAGCAACACTTAAGGGGAAATGATATCAGTTCACAATTTCGAAGGCTGTGATTTCAGTCCTTTCTGTTGTTACTGGTTCCTATCTTTATTGAGTTGTAATGAGAAAGTGTAGTTTGTGTTGTGGCGGTTCATTGCACTTTGTCTGTATGGCTGATCTTTTGTAACTGTGCCTGATTGGACTGGTGACTAATCCCCAGTTCCCAGGGATGCACATGGTCAGGGTTCTCTAGAGGAACAGAACACACACACACACACACACACACACACACACACACACACACACACACCACATGCACACACAGATTCATTGGAGACTGATTAGTGTAACAATGGCTGCTAACATGTTTGGTAATTCAGAGACCCTCCTGAGTTTCTACTCAGTTCAAGAAGCTAGAGGACCCGGAACAAACCATGATGTCCCAGCAGTGTGAGGCTGAAGGCCTGACAGCTTCCTGGGAGTTGCTGGTGGGAATTCACATTAGAGGTCTGAAGACAGCAGAGTCTCAGGTACTTAAGTGCTCAGAGACTCACTTGCTCAGGGAGAAGGGGGCTTGCTCTGTCTTTTGTACTTATATTCTATCAGGCCCCAAACCTACTGGAAGGGGCTATGTGCATTCATACGGTTCCCTTCCAGCTGTTCTACATGTTAGTTGTCTCTGGAAACACCTCCAAAGACATGCCCAGAACTATGCTTTTCTAGTTCCTAAGTATCCCCAATCGCAGTCCATTGACGGTGGAGACTAACCATTTCATCCACCACGATGGTGAACTTGATGACTTCATGTAGCTTTTCTCAGGCTAAACTATTGAGCATTGGCATTGTCACGTGTGATCGGGAGCCAGTTCACAGGGTTCCTGAGAGCTCACATCTCTTCTCACATTTGTGTTCAGAAAAGTCCTCCTGGCAGCCTGCAAACAGTAGCATTCACTAAAGACTGTGGCAATTAGCTAATGCCACAGGAAAGGTTAGTTGCCATACCTCAAAGTTCCAATTTACCAACCCATCACTGTTTATTATATAAATATATATATATATATATATTCATCTGACAATACTCTGGCACAAAAATAATTCCTTTAGGTTTCTTCCAGTTGTTGACTGAGTGAAGAACATGTTTCTTCAGTAAGTATCTGTTTTGCTTATTCCAGATATCTGGATGCACTATCAAGCAGGATTATAGTATAAATTGAAAATATCCGCTATTTATCAAAGCAACTAACATAGAACAGGTGAAAAGCACTGGGCTTTAGCTAGGCTATAGAATGAGGAGGATCTCTTTACCTTGCTGACTGAGAGTATGTTGGTAGAGCACTAACTTACAAAGGTGTTTGTGTTTCCCACAACCCATCATCAGTCCCTTTCATGAGAACAAGAGATAAGCATGAATGCATTCATCAAAGCATAGACACTAGACCCATACCTGAAATGAGCCCAAATCAACAGTACAATGGCCAAAAATTTTATGATATGTTTGCTCAGTGGCAAACTAAATCACAATGAGAACAGATACGAGCCACTTTGATGCATGTAGTGAAGAAAATATAGAGGAAGAAGCCTGGTTCAAGAGAGTTAATACTGTGCACTTTCACTGATAACATGCTTCAGAAGTAGCCATGTCTTCTGGATACGATGGGTCCATTGTGCCAATGAACTCACGGCAGCTGTGGTTGCCTGTGTAAGATCTGTTGTATCAACCCAGTTAATACCCCATCATAGATTTCGGAGCAGATCCTTAGGTTCCAACCCTAACTGAGGATCTTTGGGAAGATAAGGGCTACAAAGGGAGGGGAGAGTCAGTTATCCTTGTGGGCATGGCCTATGGTAGGTTGTCTATTCTACAATACACAGCCATACACATATAGACTCATATACATGTGGATGGTTCTAATTCATTTAAGGCAGACTATAGAAGAAGGGAGAAAAAGTGGAAGAAAAGGAGAGAGAGGAGGAAGAGGAGGAGATGGTGTCGGTGCATGGGGATCTGGGAATAGTTGGAAGGGGTTGATATTACCTAAATACATTGTATCTATGTATAAAATTGCCTATATATACATACATATACATATACATATACCTATATATATATATGTATGAGTAAGGTCACATGCTTACTTCAGCAGCACATATACTAAAATTGGAATGGTACAGAGAAGATTAACATAGTTCCTGCACAAGGAAAGGGAGTGGAAAGTCACAAACTTTTTTTGACAGATAATGACAACTCACTGAGGGGTACAGAGGTGAGAAGTTAGCCCCTGAAAGGCTCACAGCTTGCTGCCAGTGCTGTTTTTGTTTTGCTCGTGAAAATCATCAACCAGTTCACTAGCGTTTTGTGTTCTTTTATTCCTTGTGTGCATTGTTTAATCAAAAATGAAATTGATTTGTGATGTTCAGGGACGCAAAATCAATGATATTTCAGGTTCCAAGTTCACATAAACTCTCTGAGCAACTTGATTTTTTCCAGCCCTGAACTCTCGTACTGCGTTCTCTCTTTTTTGATCATGGATAACTAAAATGGAGAATAAATTTGTCTATGGCTATACAGTATCTTTCTGGCCATCTATTACTTTATCCCGCTATTGTTACAATAGTCTTCCAGGCTATGGTGGTTTGCAAGTACCCCAGACCCTATTCAGAACTGAAGCCAAAGTTCAAGGTCTCTTGCGACTATCAGACTTGCCAGTTCAACTACTTGTTTCGTTACCTCCAAGGGCTCTTATTTTTAAATTTGCTTTGACCTTAAAGCATTTCTTTGTTCTTTCTTCCAAGGTTAGTTGCTCATTCTTAGGAGGGATGCTGATGTTTAATCTAGCACTGCAGTGTTCCGTAATGACATGCATCAAACCTCTCGCTCTGACTCCATGACGCGCAGAAAGTTCTCTTCCCTGTGTTTGTGGGGCAAGGAGAGAAAATGGGCCCTAACAACTCAATTTGGGTTATTACTACCTGCTCAGTTGGAACAAGTTGTGATGAAGGAAACTGTTAATGCAGGGAGCTGACAGATAAGCTTTCACACCTGAGGATAAAGTGACATTCCTTTGCTTTTGTCTAATGGTGAGCTGTGCTCCCTTTGCAAAAATGAGAATGAACCTAGACAGGCTGTTTTCTAGTTTTCTGTCTTCAATTTTAAAAGTAGCAGTGATCATTCAAAGACAACAGAGAATTCCCTTAAACACCACCCACTTTGTTCATTATTAAATTTAACTTAAATTGCTTAATGGCTGTTTCTGTCTCAGGGATGTGAAATGACGTCATCTTTTTTATAAAGACTTAGCATTAGACTTAAAACCGTTACTGGGCAGTGACATAGAAGAGATTCTGTTTTTGTCTTCCAGAAACAGTTGAATCTCAATCATATCATTGTAGCCCAGGCTGTGCAGGAAGAATACCTCATGTGTATTACCGTATTTATGCGTCTCATTTACGAGTTTTATACATCCTTCCTGTGTGTACCTACTTTCCAAGTTGATGAGTGAATTACAATAACAGAAAACTGCAGTAGTGCAATTGTAAAACAATGGCACATCTCAGGAATTGAAATAAAACTAACCTTTAGTTTACTGCTTTTTACTACTAAAGGTGCAAATCATGGATACTAGAAGGCCAACATAAAAACAACTAATAAACTCAATTTTTCAGCAACTCAGTAACTATGCCTCTTCTCCACACAATGCGGACATTCTATTTGCAGATCTAGGGGCCCAAATCCCATTATGTAGGTGCCATTTCTATGAGAGAGTGAGTCATGAATTTTGCTGCTTCTATCCTACTTGAACTCAGAATTTTGGCTGCTTTATGAAGCCTATATACTGCTATATTTTTGTTTTACTTCCTTTGCTGTTACTACCTACCTTGTGAACATGGAAGGTTTAATTCACAGCTCTATAATCCAGTTTATTTGGAAGTTCATTTGAAGCCACAACTTGCCAGCAATATTATTTTAAGTGCTTTATAGCACTCATCTAATTCTTATTTTTATTGTAGCGTTAAAAAATCACGTTTACTTAGAATCCAAGCATAGAGGTGTGAGATGAAGAAACTCAGACCTGGGTTCTGGTTATCACTTACCAACTCCAGCCCTGTGAAATTACAGGTTAAAAATGGTTGGCTACTGTTAATTAATACAGTTTTATATAACACCGTGATACAAGGTTGGGTACTTTTCTTAACTCCCCTCACTTTGGTTTGTCAGCTGTAAAATGTGAATATTAGCTTACTCAGAAGATGGCAAACAGCTCTGATGATGGCAATATACATTAGTGCTTTGCAAGCTACAGGACATTATAAATAATACATTGCAATCATGCACTTGGTAGAGCATTGTGGATTTTAATTTGTGTTTTCTTTTTAATTGCTATGGTATTAGTTTTATCTGGAAATTAGATTACATGAATTAGGAGAGAACAGAAATGCTAGACTACTGGAAGAGCAGAGTTTACGGTTATATAATACAAACACAATACCTAGGAAATGAGTTCGTTCTTAGGAAAAGCATTAATAGTATGTGTAAGATTTTACAATCAATTTTAGATTAAGCTGGTCATTTAGACAATTGGCTGTCTGCATTATCATCACACCCTTCTGCTTTTCTTTCTCCACTGACCAAAAAATAATGATGACAGAATAGACTCCTACAGAGGCAGTTTGCATTCTCAAATTAGTGGGATATAGCAAATTTCCAATGTGTACTCAAGAGTGACCAAGATTCATGAGTCTTATAGACAGATATGGTACAGAGGTACCACTTTCGTCTGGGTGATGGGAGAGGCCTCTGCCCATCACATGAAACTAATTTAGCCATGGCCTCTGAGATGCTTGTGGGTGAGGGGTAAAATACTCTAAAGATTGTTGTAAGAAACTAGGGCTATCAGGTGAGATCATCAAATGCAGGTAGGTTAGTAGCTAAAACACACACACACACACACACACACACACACACACACTATAAAGCAGTCAACATTCTGTTTGGCAAATGTATTGAGCTCCATGTGTTTCCCATACATCAACAAGACTGAAACAGTATTATGTCAGACAAACATCTGCCCTTGAGATGGGTAGGGGCAGAGAACATGAACACAGAAGCAAACTGGTGAGATTCTTGCTGGCAGGCATTGCTACAGAAGGAGAAAAGGACCGGGGAGCGGGAGCGTGGGGGGTAGCAGCCGAACATGAAGGAGGGCGCTGGCTGCATGATGAAAGCCAGCTGGCGAAATCAGTGAGGAATCAGTTAGGCTGCCCACACTCAGAAGGTTTGAAATTGTGATGTCACAGCTGGCATGGGCTTTGCAAGTTCCCAATTCCAATTTCGTGCTTTTTTATGAATAATGGCTTAGTAGTTAGTGCCCATCCCTAGGAAATCAAAACAAACCATTTTTCTGCCTGTGACACTTCTTAGGACCACAGAAAGCAAAACTTTTATGCTTTCTGTGTCAAAGTGATTGCTTATTATTATGCCTGATGCAGGCTGCTGTGAGAACACGAAATGGCTGGTGGATGGAATTCAGGACTGAAAGCATTGACTATGTCATTTCGTCATTTCCCTCTTCTTGCCAAAAAACAAACAAACAAAAAACAAAACAAAACAAAAACTACCCCCAAAACCCCCAAACCAAAACCAAAACACCCCCCACAAAAACACTATGTAGAATCAGAGCCCAGAATACATGTGGGGTAGAAATGATAGCTGGGTATTCCAGCTTGTACATTTGTGACTTTATTCACTACTGATTGAGTACACAGAATTTCAATTAGCCCCTTTGATGTTTGTCAATAATATCTCAAACTGGTGATGTCTTACTAATGGAATTTGTTTTTTTTAAAGAGATGAATGGGAGAGTCACAGTATGAAGGAAATGGGTTCTATCCATTTTTTTCTTCTTCAGTTAACTCTTGTATGGAGGAGAAGAAGCCCGACATTGGGTGTTCAAAACCACTGGGTTTCAATTCTAGCACTGCCATTTTACAGCAAAGGATGAAAGTGACTAAGTTAGCCTTCCCTGAGTAAGTGTTCACTGGGTGGAACTTCCCATTATCTATTATTGTCATCTAGTGTCCATGGCCACAGTCTGTTTTCTGATGTCTGTTTGGTAGCTCTATCAGTCATACAGCTTAGAAAGTGTCTCTGTTTTCTTTCCCAGTTCTGAACAGTTTCTACCATCTCAGAAGTGTCCTAGTTTGCATGTCTGAGCCTCGTCAATATCTCAGCTAGATATCGCAGCTCTCATCTCTGCTTCGCTGACATGTACCTCATCATTCTTCCAAACACAGCATGTTAAATATTGACCTGATAGCTATGCCCAAACTCCACAGAATCTATTCTCTGCCGTCACTACCCTCATTTCTGGAAGTATCCAGACTGTCCCAGCTTAGATTTCTTTCTTCACCACATTTGATATATTCCTTCCATTTCCAAGTCTTCAATATCCCTTCACACTGCTACCCCCCTATTCTTGTTCTAGCTACTAACAAACTTATCTCCTGTTCTGACTCTCCTAAGTTCTCCTGAAATTCTTGGGGTTGAGCATCAGGTAAATCTGCATCCTTCCTGGATGTGACATTACATTTAATACGCTTACTTCCTGCTGTGATTTAGAGAATAAATATTATGTATATGAGCCCTTGGTGCCCATGTAGCTGTTTTGAGAGAGTGTGAGGCCTTAGATGGAGTGTCTTAGAGAACTCTGGCCATTAGCAGGGTATAGCCCAATGCCACTTCTGACTTTAATTCTCTTTGCCTTTTGTTTGGCATTGGTGATGCAGGAGATGCAAGCTCCCACTGCTCCAGCTGCCACTTCCCTTCAATGATGGGCGTGTCCTCTTGAACTGTGAACCAGAACACGCCTCTCTCCTCCTTTCATTTGTTCTTGTTAGGCTTCTGTAGAATGATAAGGACAGTACATAATACATTACCTAACCCACTTGTTTTATACCTTCTCCATTCCCAAACCTCATCTACCCCTTTCCCAGGTTTTACTTATTTCTAATGGCTTTGTTTCCCATGTGCTTTTGTGAGAGTGTCTTGGACTATGTATATGGGTTTGATCTTATCATTTTAAACCTTAGAGAATTCTCTCTGCTGGAAAGGAGAGCTTATATAGGCACCAGGAAGGTTTGGTAAAGGGACTGGCATGCTGCTGCTGGTTAACATGAAGAGAAACATGGCAAGGAGCTGAGGAAGCCTCCTGGAAGTCCATCAGCTTGGAAGTG